ATGGGGAGGCTTGTCTGTTTCAGATTAAAGGAGACTAAAGAGGCATGACAAACACAGTGTGTGATCCTCGATTGCTATGAAAGATATTATTGGGAAATTGGCAAAACTTGAATGTGGTCTGTGGTTTAGATTTGTAGGAATGTCATCGATGATAATCTCCTGATCACTATGGTTGCACCATAGTTATGGAAGAGAATGTCCTTGTTTGTAGAAAATACATACTAAAGTATTCAGGGCTTATGGGGGTGATTAGGGGGTGATTATGTCCCAAATTTGCTCTCAAATGGTTCAGAAAAACAGAAAGTTTCATATAATTTTCTATTGTTTAAAATTATGCCCAAATAAAAATATCTTTAGCATTAAAGAAAAAAGTCTGGAGTTACAGCATTGTAGTCACTGGGCTCAAGTGTCAAAGAGCTCAGTTCTCCAGTTCTTAGTGTTCTTTGTTAATCTGTATGGTCTGTATGAAATTATAGCTTTGTTCTTCAGCTATTTTTATATTAAGTGCCACTTTCCCACACTTTTTCTGACCCATAATTTAAATATCTTACCCAGACACAAATATTAGTTACTTTTCCAAGAGAGCAATAGTGGGTTCTGGCATCAGCTGATTGGGTTGAAATCCAGCTGCCAGCACTTGCCAGCTGTGGGATCTTAGATTACTTCCCATCTCTGTACTTCAGTTTCTATACTCATGAGATGTGCATAATAATAACGCCTACCTCATCGAGTGGTTCTGAGAATTAAATTTGATAATCTATGCAAAGCACTTAAACACTGAGTGGAACATAACTGATATTCAATAAATGTTAGCTGGTATTAACTAGTATCCTGCTGCCCAGGATGTTTATATTCAATAAAATATAAACATCATGGGTGGCAGTACCTACTCTTTGACATATGCCTCCCTTATATAAGCTACATTTACTTTTCAAGTGTGTATCTTCTAGGGAGTTTTAAAATATGCAAGACAAAAAGGTAGCTGGGTGTCAAAATACAATATTAAAGACTAAATTTTTTATAAATAAAAGTGCTAACAAAAAATATCTTTGAGCCCTCCTGAGATGAGATGAGAAAAGCATTTGTATTAATCAGCTATTTTACAATGATACTGTGTAACAAATCACCCCAGACTGCAGGGCCTTACAACAAAAATATGTATTCCCAAGATCACAGGTTTGCAGGTTGACTATGGCTTGGCTGATGTAGGCTGTGCTCTGCTGGACAGTCCTGTTTCAGGGTGTGAGCTGCCTGGGCTTAGCTCCAAACTGTGGCTTGGGTTGAAGTCTGCTCCCCAATATCTCTCCTCTTCTTTGAACCAGTGCTGAAGGGCATGTCGTAACACTGCAAACGTCAGAAGCACAAGCACCAAGGTCAACAATACAGCACGTTTAAGCCCTCCGCTCACATCATGTCCACTAATATTTCATTGGCCAAATCACATCACTTGGGATCAAGTCCAACATCAGTGGAGTGGGAAGTATTCTCTGACCACAGTGGGAGGACACTGAGATGTATAGTCCACTACAGGAGACTGAAGAATTGGGATCTATAATCAAGTTTGCAGACCACTGTATTTGAACGGCCTGTGCTCTGTCCGTGTCCAGGAAGCTCGGGACCTTTGTAAGAAATGGCCACAGTGCACCAGTGGGCAGTGAGGAGCAGGTGGTTTCCCCAGCAGCAGGGATGGATTTGCTCTGATTTACTTTCCATCCCCATCGCAGTTCACAAAGGAACTACAAACATCAGGAAAGTAATTTGTGGCCATGACATTGAGATCCTGCCCTTGTAAAACCTTCCATATAGAATTACACGTGGACTGCATACTAATCATCTTCCAACCAACGGTACATTCCTTCTACTTACATGAATTCCTTTTGCAGACTCCAGGAGTCTCTTATTTTTATTTCTATAGAATTTCTGAAGTGTCTTGCATGTAGTATATGCTCAATATATATGGGCTGTAACAGTGAGAAACAGGGTACTAATACTGGAGAAACATAAATGATGCCACCGCTAGAATTCTCGCAGGTCACCGTGGTTTGGGGCATGGGAAAGCAAAGTGTTCTGTGACACTTACATGAATGCTGCGGAAATTTATCACCTGAAGTAAATACACCAATAAATACAGTTTTGATGTATTAACTTAGAGACGTTAGCTCCTGTGCAACATTTTTTAAGCTAACAAAATGTCGCTTCCCTGTATTTCTTCATGTTTATTAAACACCTTTTAAATCCCTTCTAAACATCACACGTTCAGATCCTGCACTCCACTCAACTTTATTGTTTATGTGCTTCCTGTGAGGATCGCTAGACAGACAAGGCTGATAAAAGAAACCGTGTCCTTATAAAATCCTTACAGGTAACTGTGTAATAGGATTTTTTTTCCCCTACCACTAGAAACCCACTGTTTCCCTAGGAACTCACCCATTTGAGGCATTTAAAATGGATGGAAAGTTAGAAGCCAGCCAAACTGCCCTTCGACAAGAGTGAAATGAATGCTAATCTAGTTGCCCAGGAATGCGTACACTGGCTTTGCAAAGCAAGACTTCTGCGCGGGGTCCCCCTGCTGGCCTGCGGACGCGTGTCCCTGCAAACCGGCGAGCATCCCACCTGGCCTCCCGTGTGAGGCCTGCTTCTCAGGTGGGGTGCCCCTGGACCCCGTGATGAACGCGCAGAGGCAGAGATGCGGCAACCAGAACGCTGCAGCCCAGACTCAAAGTGGAAAACAGAAGCATGCCACCGGGTGACTGCGTTAGGGACATGGGGTGGCGACACTAGGAAGACGGCCAGACTGCTTTGTTTATTGTCATCAAGCTGGACGTGGGGGTCTGACCATGAACCTGCTTTTCATGCTGGAGCAGTTCCTCACGTTCCTATGACTTAATTGCTCTCTTTCCCTTCTGATTTTCCTCTCTTCACAAGAGACCCCCCTCACACACACTCCGTAGGAAATGTGGTAACCAGGCTGTTTTAAAGGCAGCCTGTCCCTTAGACTTCAAGCCCGTCGTGAAGCCGGTGTTAAGAGGTCCGTTGGGTGAGACAGCAAAGCTGGCAGATTTTTCCTGCTTGACTTTGAGTCCGTTTGATGAGAGGAAGCGGGGGAAGACTGACCTATGTTTCTGACACGTGCTCCTGCACCAACATGTCCTTGCTAAGGGAGCAAGAGCAGCGGTGCTGGCTACTTCTGTCCCAGGGCAAAGGCCAGTGCCGTCACCCGCTCGGAGAACCAGGAGAGAGGAAATGTCAGGTCATCATGTGGTGCTTGTGAAAATGCCATTGAGAACACTGGGTTTAGGTAGCTACAGAGCTGCCCCAGGCTCTCACATTAAAAGTTAGGCGGCGTCCCCTAAGTTGTCCCCCATGACAAATGGCACAGTGCAGGGCAGAGGGAATTCTATCCAGGCTCACATATCCAACGATAGCATTCATTTCCCACCAAGTCTCGTTCATTTTATTCATTTACTTTTGTCACTCTATTATGAACTTTTTCTTTCATCCTGGTCAGTTCTGAGTATTTTCCCATCTGCTGCTCTCTTCAGTCGGTTATTTTTTCAGAGCTGTTCTGGGAAATGCTTTTTCCCCGTCACTGCTCTGAGGCTCTTGTGTTAGCTGTACTAGTTGAGTTCTCCTCTGGGGAAAATTCACCATCCTCTTGCCTCTGGATTAAGAGCTGGTATAGTAGCAGATGGTGGGTCAAAGCACTCAAGCAAAACAAGATTCAGTGATCCGGGCCCGGTTGTGGGTCAAGAAGTTTAAAAGGGTTCAGCTGGGTGATTCTTCTGTTCCTTGTGTCTTTGGCTGAGGTCCCCACTCAGCTGCATTCAGCTGGCAGCTGGGCTGGGTTAGAGGGCGAAAGAAGTCTTCACCCGCGTGTCTAGCCCCTTGGTGCTCTGCCAAATGGCCCTTCCCTTTCCCCTGTGCCTCTGTCCATTTGGTAGACTGGCCTGTGTGTAATTACAACATGATGGCTGGCTTCCCAGAGGGATGCTACTAGTCTTCTGAGGCCTTTGCTTGGAGTGGACACTACTAGTCTTCTGAGGCCTTCGCTTGGAGTGGACACTACTAGTCTTCTGAGGCCTTCGCTTGGAGGGCCCAGAACATCGCTTCCACACTTCATTGTTCTAAACAAGTTACAGAACCAGTCCGGATTCAAGGAAAGGAGAGGCAGATCCCACTTCCTGAGTAATATATGCTGGTAACTTCTGCTTCTCTGTTTTCTATACTTTAACTACATGTTTTATATTTTGTTTCCGTGTCTTTATATAAATTTATCATTTAAAAAAAGTTTTTCCCCAAACAAAAAGAGATTTGGAAAGCCTCCCAGCAATGAGTTATAAAACATGCCTTTATTTGCCTTTGAAAATTTGTTTTTCTACACATAAATTCACAGATATATATTATACATTTTACGCCAAAAGAAAATTTTAGTTAGTTTCTAGTATTTAGGCACCATTGCACCTGCGCAGATATTTATTTTTCAAGGATTTATGTGCAATAGCATAAACTTGACCAGCATAATTTGTTCAAGACAAAGTATCTCCCAGCATAGATATGGATGTATAAGTTAAATAAAAATAGGTATTTTTTGCAACATATATCAAACAGGAAAATAAAGGGCATGGAAACTTAACGGAGTTTTCTTACACAGTGGATATTGCTTGAGTCGAGGGAAAAAAGATTGGATTTAAAATCTGTACTGCATTTTGGGAAATGCTGTGCGAGGAGAGAGATGTTACCAGGACTGCTGAGTGAATTCTGTTTACCGCAGTTCTACATTTCATCAAGCAAACCGTGTGCGAAGGGGCGAGTATAAATGCGCCTATTTATGTGGGCGATTTTTCTGTTTCGTGCCTCTGACTCATCTCTCTGCCTTGCTTTATGGGACGTCATGCTACATTGGTTACAATTAATTTCAGCGCTGCATATTAGCCATAAAGAGATATTTTATAAATTGACTTGATGTAATTTTTTTTTCCCCTCTGTGGTTTTCTTGAAAGATGAGAGCGGTCCGGAGGAAAAACAGAGCGCAGAAGAAATGGAAGGGCAGAGCCAAGAAGCAGGTGGGCTCAGGTTTCGTTTGGGGAGCCTCCTAGGCCTCACCTAGGTGAACAAAGACTTTCCTCAGTGCTATTTTCTGAAAACGCTTATGCTTTTTACCAGGTTAGCTTCACTGTCTGTGCAGGCCTCCCTCAGGAAGCCACCAGCTCCAGTCACTGAGTCACAGGGCTTCCCATCAGAAGGGTACTTTGACATGTCTCCTTCACCCGTTCCATTTTCCTTCCATGTCATAGCAGCCTGCTGAGTAGCCATCTAAGAGGGGCGAGCAGAGGTTGGAGTTGCCCAGTCAGGGCTTGGCTGGCTTAGGGCAGGTTCAAATGAGCAGATGTAGTTTGCGGGACGGGGGGGAAGAAAAGAAATGAAAAATGTTTGAAGGAAATAAATGAGAGGCTTCCCCTCCGCAACGAGCGGAGTGCTCTTTACTGTATTGCATTCGATGTTGAAGAGCCATATTTCTGGTTATTTCTCTGCATGTTGTGGGAGATGGTGTCACAGAGCCTGACTACCCCAGGCACGGAGCTAAAGTGAGATCCCAAGCCTGCTTGACATCTCCTCTGTTCGCTACAGGACACATGTGTCAACTGAATGTTTACAGATTGTCGACTGTAGGTTATAAGTTGAACATTTTAAAATAAAATAGCACTTAAGACTCCAAAGAGATTGTCATCACCTTCCATGGATCGTCTCCCTCTACCCATTTTTATACTCGGGCCGCTCTCCTTTAAAAATGATAGACACAATTATGCAGCTACCAACATAACCGCCCAAATTCAGATACCCTTCTCTGGAGTTTGCAAGTCATTTCCCCAGTTCGAAAGAGCCCCACGGCACCGGGCTGGGGAGCAGGGTGCATTTTTGAAACAGTGGCTCCACCTGTTGCGTGCCAGGCACATCCTGGGCCATACGCTGAACTCTTGGAAATAAACCAGGTAGTGGGATAAGTTTTTCACTGAAAACTTCCTACATTAACCTTGGAACTTTTGCAAGGGAACTGGGAGCCTTTCTTATTAACCTGAGGGTGGAATTGAAGGCCAATCAGAGGAAGCAGTGAAGCAGGGCAGCAGAGACCTTGTGCGGCCGCGACGGGGTCAGCGGCTCCCTGCACGGAAACGTAGTGCTTGCAAGGAAGTGAATTCGGATACAGTGAACTGTTGCTATGCACACCCCCACCCCCGCTCTGGACCCCCACACCCATCATCATGATCCGTGGACAATGAGTCTTCTAAGAAAAGCTGTCATTGTGTTTTCTCCTTGGGCTGATGAATATTAGTCTTCTAACTGCTGACAGCTATTCTCTGAATGTGGAGGTTTCACAGGTTTTTTCGCTCGCCGCTCTGTCCCCAGTTGTCTTTATCAGCATAGATTTGTCCTGCCCCTGTTTATACACACATGAATGTGCACACACACGTGCATAGACGTGCACACACATTTACCAGTGTTTGGTTTACTTACCCCGCTTCCCTTGGTCAGTTGAGAACAGGCCGTTTCTATTTTGATTTGGGATCACCTTGCCTGTTAGCAGGCAAGTAAAATGTAATCCCTCTTCTCCACACAACAAACAGTGTCATCATCATGACACGGGAACCTCTCAACATGAAGGAGAATCCTAAATGCGCACCTGAGGGCTCCTCTTGCTCTCCCGGATGAGCCCGCTGGCTGGCATGCGGCCCAGTGGCAGGGCTCATCTACCATCCTGCCCGGTGTCCACATGCAGTGTTATGCCCGCTCTGCTCATTTCATAGCCTCCCAAACCCAGGTGCAGAGAAACTGAAGGTGCGGTTCTGCTTATGAAAGCTCTTTTGACCTGCTGTTACCTTTCCAAAACACAAAAATACCTGGTTTTCATTCAATGTAATTTCCAACTTCAATTTTGATTATACAGTTCTGCAAGCCTCTTCCACACCAAGAAAAAAACACAGTCGTAAACTAGCATAATCCATCCATTTTTACTGCTGTCACATTCAGATCAAATCAAAGTTGCAGGTAATATTCCTCAGTCACTGGACAAATACATAGCAAGGATTACAGGCTCTGTCTGAGCACTGGGACACAGCAGTAAACTATGAAGACAATGTCCCTGCACCCTTGACGCTGGTGGGGAGAGTCCAAAAATAATTAACAACCGAAAGGTGTCAGATAGTGACAAATGCCTTGCAGAGAAGCGAGGTAATGTAGAAGGAATACTGTGAGGGCCACTTTCCATTGGCTAGACTTGGGGAAAACTCCCTTAGGAAGCCATCATTCAAATGAGATCTAAGTGATGAGCTGATGAAAGTACATTCAAATGGAGGGAACAGATAATGCAGGTGCCTCTAGGCCAGTTTGGGTTTGGCCTGTTGGCAAAGGAGAGAAGGGGGAGTGGCTGGAGCTTGGTTGATTGAAGGACAGTGGTGTGAAGTCTAGTAAGAGGTGATTATTCTAGATAACTTCTGACTGTATAGAATTTATTTTATTAGAACTACAAAAAGAAGCCATGGGAGTTTTTAAGTAGTAGAGAGAAATAAGCTATGTTTTAATAAGCTTGCTTTGGCTGTGAGTTAAAATGGTCCGAAGAGCCAAAGTGAGAACAGTTAGAAGGCTACTGTAGGAAAGCAATGATGGTGGTTTCTGGAACTGGAGACAAAAATGGACTGATTTGTGTTACATTCCAGAGATAGGGGTAACAGGATATGCTGCTGGATTGGAGGTGGGGAATGGGTAAAAAGGAATAAGTCCTAGATTTTTAGCGTTCGTTAACTATGGGGATGATGGTGCCACTTACTCATAGGACACATGGAGGACTGACCACAGGGGACAGTTTTTGCTGAGAAAGTTAAATAGCTCAGTTTTGGTCATGTAAATTTGAGAGGATTCATAGCCCAATGGGATGTTGAAAAGCCAGGTAGATATATGAGTCTGGATTTCTAGGGAGAGGTCTAGACCAGAGAGAACAGTTTTGAGAGTCACTGGCATATAAATTATAATATTTAAAAGCATGAGACTAACTAAAATTCACTAAAGAGAACATGTAAGTAAAGAAAACAGTGGGCCCTGGGACACCGGTACCTCTAGATATGTGGCAATAGGAAAGAAAGGGCAGCCACAAGGAGAGTGTTTCAGAAAGAACAGAGTGGAAGAATGCTACTGAGGAATCACGTAGAAGAGAAATAACCATTGGATTTGGCAAAGGGAGGTCACTGGCACCTTTGAGAAGAGAATTCCTGGGGAGCATTGAAGCCACCTGGAGTGGGTTATGGAGAGACTGTGAACTGAGGAAGGGTAGCACAGTAGGACAGGCAGCCCTTTTAGGGAGTTTTGCTGTGAAGAAAAGTAAAGAAATGGGAAGATGTGGCATCAAGGTCAATAGGTCTTCCTTTTTTTAAATAGGAAATTGTCACTTAACAAAAGAAAGTGATTCATTATTTCCAATTATCCCCCTACTAAAATGTTTATTCTCTGTTCCAATAGAGACATGACCTAAAAGTAATAGTCATACAAAAAGATGGGCTAGAAAGTATGATTTACCTTTAAATGTGTTCTAGTTGCCATGCATGTATGTGTGTTTAGTTTCACAACCCTGTTACTGCATGAAAAATATATATATATATATTCCTTTTCCAATTGTCAATATTAAACATTTCAAATGCTTCTGATAATCCCTCCTGTCTTAAATTTACCCTGTTAATGTTAATAAGTTAATTATCTATTATCCTGGAGGCCAAATGTGAGTGGAATCACTGGGGTGCCGATGGTACTAAGAAGACAGGTCAGCTCTGACGAGGTTAATTGCTGCTCCAAGGGGCACAGGGACCTCCCAGCTCCTCACACCCCACTCTGCGCTTGAGTGACGTGACATCTCCAGGAGGCTTCTGGTGCTTTTCTACCAATGATCCCCTTCCCTTGTGTCTGCGCTGACAGCCTTGGACGCGCTCCCTGCAGTGTCACAGCCTGGCACCGTGGAGAAGTGCTGTGCTAAGGAAAACCAAACTTCAAACACACACATAAAGCACTTTGTAGAAACTTGCAAGGGTATACTTTCTTTCACAGTCTGCTACTAGGAAAAACAGCTTACCATCCTGCTAGAGGTGGGGAGGAAGCAAAATGCCAAAGGGCAGTAATACCAACAAGTAGCATTTTCCACCAAAAAATAGTTTGTATGTCATTGGGCCCTGTCTGCTCTGATTAATTGTACAAGGGAATCGCAAACCACTACCCCCTTCAAAGACATTCAGTATATTAGGGCATTTAACAGGCTCATATTCCTGGGGGGGAGGGGGGGCACACTGGCCTGGAGGCTCCCGCTAGGCAGGATTAACTCTGAGACTTTCTCTTTTTGCTTTGTAGATGGTGTCAGCGCTGCGACTGGGCACAGCCCTGCTTTAGAAGAGGCAGTTGAAGTCTGTAAAGATGAAGGTAGGAGGCTATTTACTACATCTAAAGTCAAAAGCGCTCAGGAAACCATTTGAGTTTTGTTTATATGGAAAAAGGAAGCAGTGAGCAAAATCTAATTCTCTTTAAGCATCTCTACTTCCAACACAATCAAATATCTCACCCACTCTGTTTTATTCCATATCTGCTTCTTTTAGATTTTTTTTTTTTTTTAATCCTCACTTGAGGATATTTTTTCCATTGCTCTTCAGAGAGAGTGGAAGGGAGAGAGGGAGAGAGGGAGAGGGAGAGGAGCATCGATGTGAGAGAGACACATGAATTGGTTGCCTCCCCCAAGCGCCCCAACCACCGGGACAGGGGATCAAGCCTGCAACTGAGGTACATGCCCTTGGCCGGAATTGAACCCGAGAACTTTCAGTCTGTGGGCCGACACTCTGACCACTGAGCCAAACTGGCCAGGGCTCTTTTAGGATTTATATGTACATTTACATTTGTTCCCCTGAAAAATAACTGTGAAACAAGAGAATGATTGGAGGAACTATGTTTAAAGAAGATGTTTAAGCAGAGTTAGGCCTTTCTGCTGTTTATGGCTACTCACCAGGGATAAGTTCAGAAGAGCCGCATTTGGGAACCACCGACCCCAGAGCTCCATTATCCAAACATAAGGGGAAGAAGTTTGGAAAGCATCCTTAGAAATAAATCTTTGGCAAAAGCATCATTCCTCATTCTATGGACAGTTATTCTGAGGAAATGTTGCTGACCCAAGTATCTCCAAAAGAAGAAAAAAGTAAAGAAAATTTGATTTAGGTTATAAGAGAAAATTTGAAGGAGAAATAGTGGAGACAATTCATCTGTGGATGATAGAGGTTTGCATATATTAATAAAGGAAAGTAAATAAAATAGTTCTTTCTTTTCTTTCCCTCCTGATTAACTGCCCCCACACAAAAGATAACATTATTTTATTTATTTATTTTTTATGTCTATTTTTTTAATTTTACTTTTCAATTACATTTTATATAGTCAGCATTATTTTGTATTAGTTTCAGTTGTACACATAGTGGTTAGACCATCTATGCTTTACAAAGTGCTCCCCTTGATATTTTAAGTGCCCACCTGGCACTTAGAGTTATCACAATATTATTGACTATATTCCCTAGGCTGTACTTCACATCCCTCTGAGTATTTTGTAACTACCAATTTGTGCTTCTTAATCCCTTCACCTCAGAAACGTAGTATTATTTTATATCTGTCACCGGTGACTACTAAAAAATCCTTCTGTTGTATTTGTACAAGTGGACCTCTGATAAACCTGTGATCTACTTGAGACATTTGGATAGATATGCTGAATGTATTTCTTTAGTTTGGAATGATATGAATAGACCCATACTTGGCAATTGATGCTAGCATAGTATCTAAATATCTTGAACAGGTGTTTAGAAAATCAAAGTTGTCTTAAAAGTTTAATTCTCAGGCATTGGCATCATTCATTTCACTTCATGTTGCCTGGTAAATGGGAAAACGAGGTGTCGTGTGTAGTGAGGGAGTGTGAGATGAGTGAGGGCTGCCTGCAGCTGGGAAAATAGTTTGCTCATTCCTGAAGGGGGATCTGGATGGCCCAGCACAGCATCCTCAACATGTCCTTTCGGTGGTGCTTCTCTTGTTCATTGCCCCTTTTTAAATGAATCCCTTAGCACCTCCGGTCATCTGTTCAGATGTGTTCTGACAGTCCTGGTTTTATCTGATATATCTATCCCTGATTATTTAGTATACCTAAAAATACAAATAATGTCAGATATCCACATAGTTTCTGATAAGAAACTCAAGGCCATTTTAGAGAGAGAGACAAACCTGACCAAGTCAGAGTGAAAAGACAGAAAGTGATGCTCCTCCTAAGTAAATAATTTTGGACATTGCAATCATGTAGCTGTGATAGAATTTTTTTCACAATGTCATGAAGTCGAAGCAGAATTTAGGGAACAAGAAAGATAACCTAATTTAAGTGCTTCAAGCTGCGATTTTTTTCCTGTTGAGTTGTTTGGCTTGGAGTCATTGCACCTTTCTAGAAACACACTGTTTGTGACGTTTCTTGATGCCTTTAGGATCCCACGCCATTAAATGCTCATGCCAGGATCAATTTCTCAGAATACTTTTAGGACTGTTTTCTACATGAAACTTATAATGGAGGTAGCTCCAAAGAGTTCTTCCATATATTACAAACGCAGGTCCCTAAGAATGACTAGATGTGACACTTCAAGGAGTTTACTGAAATAAATTGTTAATATCCATTAGCCTCTTGATCCAGGGAAAAAAGTGTTTTTAAAATCCCACTAGCATGTGAACCATTACAAATAGAATATGATTTTTGCCTTTTTCTTCTGCAATAGCATGTGCCACTCCTTTTTTTTTTTTTTTTTTTAATATGTCTTTATTGATTTCAGAGAGGAAGGGAGAGGGAGAGAGAGAGAGAAATATCAATAATGAGTCATTGATTGGCTGCCTCCTGCATGCTCCCTACTGGGGATCAAGCCCTCAACCCAGGCATGTGCCCTGANTTGTTTTTAAATGTGTCTTTATTGATTTCAGAGAGGAAGGGAGAGGGAGAGAGAGATAGAAACATCAATGATGAGAGAGTCATTGATTGGCTGCCTCCTGCCTGCCCCCTTCCGGGGATGGAGCCCGCAACCCGAGCACGTGCCCTGACCGGGAATCGAACCGCGATCTCCTGGATCCTAGGTGTATGCTCACCCGCTGAGCGACGCCAGCAGAGCATGTGCCACCCTTTTTAATTGATTATCAGTCCAAAGCTTAGACCAAGTGTCTAAGACTGATAGGACTGCCATCTCGACTGGTAGTTACATAGCTTAGAATGAAAAAGAAAGGAATTTGCCATTGACATCCCCCACAACTGAGGTCAAGGTGAGGTGAAAAGGCGGTTGTGTGGGTTGAGAATTCATTTCAAACACTCACCATTATTAGTTTCATGCAGAAATGTATCTCCTTGGTGACAACTGGGCTATTTATGAGCTCTGCAGCTATAAGACTTGATAAAAATGCATATTACACTCTTCTATTTAAATGGAAGGACATGTTTGCTGACCAAGGGTGCTGAAGGAGCCCTTGCTCTCTTGCCTTGGTTTTCAGACTTTAACGCTGACCCAGCATCTTCTTCTTGGGTTCGGAACAACTGATCTAACCAGCTGCCCTTCTCTCTCTCTCTCTCTCTTTCTCTCTCTCCTTTAAGAGCCATCAGTTAATCCCAGCTTTGCTTGGTTTGTCTGGCTTTATGTTGGTTATAACTTTGGTTCCCACAGGAAAGTAGTGTCTCCTGGAGTGCAAACAGAAAATGAGCTGGCTAATGCGCCTTGGTTTGGGAGATAAGATTTTTTAAAAAGTTAAAATAGGTATGTGAAAATTGAATAATTTCAAGAGAAAGTGGTGTCTTCTGGGGTGTCTTCTATGCTAATGATTTTGTTCAAATGTCGCAGACACATTTCCCACTGGGTACTTACAAGGGATGCTTATTACCCATTTACCCCACATGACTGCTAGCAGGGCAAGCTGCTGACGGAAGGAGGTGCCACTGATTGGCTTGTTTCTCAGTAGCTAGATTGTGAGCGACAGACTGGAGGCACCTGTTCCCAAAGATCATTACAGGCCTCAGGTGGGCAGGAGTTGAGTTGAGAGGATGAGATGTGAGGAGGAGGAATACTGATGAATACACCAGGATGTGGCAGCCAGGACTGAACTGAAATGAACTCCAAGGTAAAGCTGGCTTGAGAAATTATCTGTAGGTTAATAAAAGTTCTGAGGTTATTCGTAAAACACTGCATTCACTTATTTTCTGAGAGGTTTCTTCCTATACCGGTAAAAATACTCTAATTATTGATTTAATGGCTGTTTGCACTTTAAATCCTTAAAAAACAACAACAGGAGTACAAATGTTAAGGCTACTTAAGTTACCAAATATAGAGGTAATCACATAAAGGGGAATATAAACACAGGAATAAAATTCACATTAGCAGTATCAAGTACTCTGGTTGAAACTGCTGCGTAGTTATTATTATTTGAAATATAGTCAATCTAAATTCAAGGAGAACTCTGTTCTAGTTGTCTGGACACTCGTAATAGTTCGTCCTCACAGCCAAGGCCAAGGCACCTTGGTGGGGGGGCGCCGTTTAAATACATCTTGATTCCCTTGTCTTAGTATTTTATTACCCAATTTGAATTTGAAGGTCAACTGGACCAAATCATGCGCTCATTAATGTTAAAGACAAAGTCAGTTAATACTCGGGTGCACGCACAGCGAGCTGGTGTCCCTTCGGAGCCTCGTGTGGTCACGCATTGCTCTCTGATGTCTATCAGGGGGACCTCCCGGCCGCGCATGGCCCTGGGCCTTGGCGCTGTCGCTAGCCCTTGTCTAAACCTTGGGAGAGAAACAACATTGGGCCGCCGGGGAAATTCCCCTCCGGCTCCTGTGGGCTGGTTTTCCTTCCTATTCTTGATCCACTCTCCCTCTGCTAAGCATCCTCCCCACTACCCACCGAAGAGAGACAAAGCTGTCCCCTGTCCTGGAGCCGCCTGGCGGAGTGTCTGGGTACGCTGTGCCACCCTGGCTCATCACTTCTGGATTTTAAGAGTCTGAAGTGTGGAATGACAGCTGCTCCCCGCTGGCAGGTCAGCAAAGGGGACCGACCAAGATTTATGGAGTGGCTCCTATACTTGGTGCTTTCCGTGTAGGCACCAGGTAGCTTTCATTTCCGAGGCGGGTAACCTG